AGAGAGAGAGAGAGAGAAAGAGAAAGAGAAAGAGAAAGAGAAAGAGAAAGAGAAAGAGAAAGAGAAAGAGAAAGAGAAAGAGAAAGAGAAAGAGAAAGAGAAAGAGAAAGAGAGATGGGAGGTGGGCAAGGCCCATCTTTTATTAAAGGGAATGTAGCAAATATGCCCAAGAGGGGCTCTTAGTGGCTGCAGTTGAGGACATACCTTGTCAGGACCCTAAGGGCAGGCCTCTACAGATGCCTAAATACTAACAGGTGCCACATTCCCTTATTCTTCAGTTGGCTATCTTCCTGTATAATTTGGAGATTTTTTCAATCACCTGGGAGCAATCTCTGTTTCTTGACAATCAACTCTGACTAGAGGATGTAATTTAGAAAGCCTTAGAACTAAAACAGGCAGCCACAGAGCAGATGCTGTTTCTAAGTCAAGCTGATGCAGGAGGTTCACAGTACCATTCTCAGAGATAACCCATCAGCAAGGAGCTCTGTTGTTCAGAGTTGGGCCTCTGAAATCAATGGGCATGACTGAAAAACGATACACTGTTTCAACCGTTCTGACCTAGAACATAACATTTGATCTTGTGTTGAAATAGGTTCATGATATTTCCTCAAGAGAGAGAGAGAGAGAGAGAGAGAGAGAGAGAGAGAGAGAGAGAGAGAGAGAGAGAGAGAGAGCGACCGCTTGGGAAATAAGATGCAATACATATATTTCTTAATTTTAATAAAGCTTAGTTCAATTACTATAGCCTAGAAAGGGTTCATAGTGGAACACTACCAAAAGTCATTCCTTCATATCCTAGAGCACATCCTCATCCTGCATCTTACACTGTTGACTGGGAATGCAATTAACTTTCATATAAATTTGGAAGTGTAATTTACCTAATGTCAATTAAGGATGTGATAAAATAACTTGTTAATTGCTTTAATTCCTTCTAAATTATGTTTTACAATGGTAAAAATCTTTGGCTTCCTTCCATAGAACATTTTCCCTTCTTCTACCATAGAGTGTAGCAGAGATGTGAGATGCATGTGTTAAATGATTAAATGCAGATCCCAGAGCTTGCACTGCACAGATCTGAGATTTTATGGGGAGAGATAAAAGTAAGAAATGTAACATAGGCTTTAACAAAAGTAGATAGAGTTGAGCTTTGAATTCCAGAGATTTCCTGTGGAACTTAAGTCATGGATAAAGTCTTCAATAATGAGGAAGATTTTCGAAGGCAATAAAAGTTTGAAAAGTTGTTAGAAGGTTGAAAGCAGGATAGAGGTGACGGAATTACATAAAGGCAGAGCTTAGGAACCTGACTTTGCATTATAGGCTTTAGAAATGCGCTGAAATAGATTAAGCAGCTGAAATACTCAACCATCTATTTAAGAGTCAATATTCGAAGTTAATAGATTCTCTGGATTTTAAGAATGCATATCCACAGTATTTAAACATAAACAGAAATTTGCTTACTTAATTTTTTGGATGACAGACTACAATGAAAAGAACCGCATACAGCGGATAAGATCCAATAACCTTAAATTAGAAAACATCATCATGCTTAGAACTTAATATGAATGAAATTTTGGTAAACACAATTAAAGCCTGTTGAAATTTAAGACATCTTAGTGAGAAAAGATTACGTTCTCAGTGGACTATGTTAGAAAGACAAAATTTCGGCATTTTCAGGCATAATTGTATACTATTTAATTAGAAGCAATGATTTTCTAGGAAAAAGAAAACAAACACTTTCAAATGCATAAATGCCTTATCGGATTTTTCCATTAAATGGATATTTTTAATGACTTCCTTATTTCCCTTATTAGATTTGATTCAAAGAACCTTGCAATTGCTGCTCTAGATCTCAATGACTCTCTCCCTTTCATGGAGAGTACCCAGTGACAAGCTGCTTTCCACCATTTGGTCCTGGAACTTACTCAGGACTTTGAATAAGTTGGAATAACAGGGCTGTGTTGGCTGTTCAACACCAGGCAGAACTTCTTCAGGGTTTGGTACTATAGAGCCACCACCCTGTGTGTAGGTAATTTTCATTGGTTCTTCTGGATAATTAACTGAGTACATAACCAATATTTTTGCCCTTGTTTAAGGCAAGGAGATATGAGGACTCACAAAGGGAAAAATATTTTAAGAGAAATGCACAGTGGCACTGTTACTTCTCATATCCTGTCTCATGAGTCAACATTTTGTGGTTTGAAATTTATAGCTACCGTACTGTTGTTGCCTTTCAGTCAATAATAGCTATGAATGACATCACTCATACTACATAACCATGTATATGCAAAATGATAAATACAGATACATTTCTAAATGTATTCACAAAATTGTGATCTAGGTGTATATTTTCTATTATAGATATATTTGCATACTATAAGGTTTAGCACAATTTGAACACAGGCAAGATTCTTTTTATTGTTGTTTGTTTGTTTGTTTTGTGACAGGGTTTCTCTGTGTAGCTTTAGAGCCTGTCCTGAAACTCACTATGTAGATTAGGCAGGCCTTGAACTCACAGAGATCCACCTGCCTCTGCCTCCCGAGTGATGGAATTAAAGGCATACACCACCACCACCCAGCTAAGATTCATATTTTTAATGATTTGTGCCTTTTAAATACTTTTTGCATGTGTATTTTTACTTTTATATCATTTCATAAATTTATATCATTTTATTAACATGTTTTCAATCATTTACTGTCCTATTCTTATGTAGAATCATAATTTACTAGATCTCTTTGAGGAGCTGCTAGCTTCTGGTGTTTTTGGAAAATAGAAATAAGTAATTTATAAATAAATAGCATGTATATTGATGTTTGCTATTAAAGTCTGTTAATGGCACATTTTTGTAAACATGTAACTTGAGATAGGACTACATTAAATGTATGCAACAAGTCATTGGGTAACATGAAAGAACTCTATCTAGAATGCAGAGCCCCAGATTACTCCACATAAAATTGTACATGACTGAAAGTCACAGTAATACCATCACTTGGGGCAGAAGCATGGGTTAGACAGGTTTAGTGTCTACTGACTACATAACAAGTTCAAAGCCATTCTAAGCTCCATTAGACTTTGTCTCAAAATAACAACAACTATTACCACTATTACACATTGACCTTTAGAGTATAAGTTAAATTTATGAATTATTTTACCTACCTCTACAATTCATTTATTGATAATATATTATTTCCTCTCTAAAAGTTACTCAAAACAATACTTTTATTTATTTCTCCCTCATACGATACATCACAACCACACCCTCCTCCTCCCTCCACTCTACCCAGGCCTTCCACTCCCCTCTCCCCAAGATATACTGTTCCCCCCAGTGATATATTTATGCAGCACTTGTTTATTTTGGCATATAGACTCTAGCTTACCTAGGAATTTTTAATTTGTAGTGTTTTCTGGCTAGAGTATGTATAAGTAATTACACAGTATCTACTTTGATGGCTTTTGCTTACCATCATATCACCACCAAGCAAATCATATAATTAAATCCAAAATTCAACAAAAGAGAAACAGATCCACTTTGTTTTACTGGAGAGCTTAAAAATTCACATTCAACCATTGTGAAATATCTAATATAGGCATGGACAGGAAAAAATTGAGGCATTTGCAGTATATTAAATTTTGCATGTATTAATAAGCAGATGTCATTAACAAACACTTTATACTTAATCATTTTGATAATTCCATTAATTAGTAAAGGGGCATAATTATGTATCTTTAGAGAAATATGTGAGTCAAATAACAATAATTTCGGACCAATTAATTACATTTCTCCAGGGTTTTATAATCATAATCTCTTGCATTGTAACTCTCATCCTTGCACATTTCATATCTTACCTTATATGACATTGTATTTTAAGCAGTTTTTGTTCAATTAATGCCTCAAAACACCAACATTTTCTTTCCAAACATATGTGTATTCATTTATTTATTATGTTCAAATATTACCCCTAAATCACCATCCTCATAAATTCTACACATTTGTAACTTTTATTCATACTTCAAAAAATCATGTTGTGCTGTGTGACAATGGTCTTGAACTCTGTAAAGACTTGTTACTTGTATTGGTTTAATAAAAGGCTGGTTGTCCAAAACCCAGAGAGGAAGTATAGGCAGGTAGACCAGACTAGGAAAATACTGAGAAGAGGAAAGGCTCAGTCTGCAGTCCTCACCCAGAAGCAGAGGACGCAAGATGAGAACGCCTCACTAATAAAGGGTGGTGTGAAGGCATGTGACTAAGACAGACAAGAATTATAGGTTAATGTAAGACGTAGGAGTTAATTAATAAGAAGCTTGAATTTACTAGGCGAACAATTTATAATTAATGTAAGCCTCTGTGTGTTTTTTGAGACTGAATGTCTGCAGGACTAGGCAGAACAGAAACCTCTATCAACAGTGTTGCAAACTGATTTTTAATTTTTCAAAATCCTACTCTTATTTTACCCATTTCAATATCATTGGGTGGCTCCTGTACCTTTATACATATTTGTACACTACAAATTTCATGAATGTAAACCATATTTCAAATAATTTTTAACATAATAAGCCATAATCTTTAAAACTACCCAACATAAGCACTCGATAATTTGAATGAAGTATTACTGTTATTTACTGTAAAAAATTTAACCTTTAATATTTTTGATAAAGAAGCAATAATTTGTTTATATATCCCAACAAAGTCCTTCATTTGTCTTCAGCCTTAACATTTCAGACATATTTTTCTGGAACTCCTCTTAGATAAACTCTCTTAGGTTTAATAGCCTTATTAAACCACATATAATAACGCCATATAAGTATTGTCTTTGAACGCTTCTCTGTAACATTAATTTTCTAGCATATAGAAAGACACAAAACAGAATAAAAGAGGCAGCTCACCTTCTGATAAAGGGACAAACAGTTTTCTAATTGTTTATGATCTTTCTAATTCATAAAATGACATGCACTGTAAACAGAAGATGAAACAGCACCACTAGATCACTACTTGTAATAAACCCTTCTTTTGATTGTCAATTGATTAATCCCTCTTAACTCATCCTTATTTCTCCAAACTCATCTCCTAACATCAATTCAAATAATTTCTCACTTCTTTTTGACCACACTTCCATTCATTAGTCTATCTAATTTATATTCATTTGATTTACTAAGGGCCTTTTTAATAATTGGTTTTTGCTTGATAAATAGTAAGAGGGCAATATTTGTAAACCTCAGTGCAATATTTTAATACATGCATCCAAAGTTTAGTGTTCAGACTAGAATAACTGTCATACCTATCAGATAATTTGGGGATTCTTTAATAAAATTGTGCTGTGTATGCTTAGGAGCTATATGAGCCACTGTTGCTATGATATCATTATCAATCTATGTGAGCTAAAGTAATAACAGAGAAAACTGTCACAACCTAGCTCAGAAACCCAGGTTTGTTTGTTTTGTTGTTTTTCCTGTTCGTCTCATAAATTATGCTGATGAAAGTCACGTGGGCCTGTGTAGTTTGGCTCACAGTTTGACGTTTCAGACTATCATGGCTGGGCAGAAGGAGTTTATGGGAGCTGATGGTATTTCATCCATAGCCAGGAAGCCGAGAGTGATGAAGGTCTAAACGTGGGTCACTTTATCCTTTAAATTCAGAGGAAGACCTCAATCCACGGAATAGTTTTCACCACACTTAGAGTGACTCTACCCAACTCAAACAACCAAACTAAGAAAGACAAAGCTTCACACTTATTCGTAGAAGATAACCTAATCAGCCTAACCACTCTGAGGTCTGTTTGTAAGTTTCTCAAGTTAGCAGTTAATAGTAACCATCAAAACAGGCTCTCGGGTTTGACTAAATATCACAGGAAGGTGATACAGAGTAAGTGGACTACTGGGGTTTGTTCAAATACTAATACAGAGTTTATATAGACATCTATGAGTCTGTTTTAAAAATGAAGTGGTATTTTATCTGAATTCTATGTTTCATAGAGGTGTCTGTAAATTCTATTTTCCCAGTAATTGGTTTATTGTCTTCTTCTCATAGTATCTGATAATACACTGCCTATTAAAACACAAATTAAATTTTTTGTGATCAGATGTTTGTTGTAGAACCAAAGAACTGCTAGGCTTCAGTGTTTTAAGAATTGCCAGGTTACCTGGAAAAAAATCTAGGAATTTGTGTCAGCTGCTGATACAAATAACACAGACAGTACATTAGACACAAGACTAGGGAGAAAGTTTTAGCTAATAATATCTAAAATAAAATCATATTAAAGGTTGAACAAACAAGAAAACAGAACCAAGAAGGACTATTTACAGAGCACTGAATCTCAGCTGAAAAGGAGCTGGCTGTAGCAATCCTTAAGGTGAATTGTGTTCATAGCTATAAAAACTGGTACCTACATTTCACAAATTGTAGTGACATCAGGGAAAACATATTGTGGGTCAATATATAACTCCAATATCTCAAACAGAAACTGTATTAATTGCAAAACTGTTTGGCCCAAAGCTTACACATATTTTTAACTAACTCTTATATCTTAAATTAACCCTTTTCTATTATTTTATATTTTTACCACGATGATCGTGGTTTACCAGTAAGGTTCTAGTGGGCTCCAGCGGGTATCTTTCTCCTTAGGCAGCTACATGGCATCTCCCTGACTCTGCCTTCGTTTTCCTCTGTTTGCTTGGAATTCCCGCCTTGCTCTCTTTTCCCCTTTCATAGGCCAAAGAAGGTTATTTATTAACTAGTGGTAACAAGCACACTCACAGCATACAGAGGGGAGTCAGGGGAGAGTCATGGTAAGTGTCCATACACCTGACTTCTCCCAGAACATTCTCAGCAAATGTCCCCGATTTAAATGGACATTATTCTACTCAACAGCTTTCATATTTTTTTTAACAGAAT